GTACCCTTTTAAAAGTTGACACATAGACGTAAAATCGAATCCTGAACTACTTTTCTCTCTACAATTTTTCGATTTCTGGTCATCTTACCCCACTTTTCACATATTTGAGGCGAACTTTTTGAATTTGCCGCCATGACTGTGGTCACATGACATCTGTGACAGTGATTTTTTTGTTGATGAGTGCTGAATCGATCCCACGTAACATTTTTTTTGATATCTTAATAATAAAATATTTTCCCATTTGTTGCAAACTTTTTGGCGGTCACTGTATAAATTTTAACTACAGGATTGACAACATTGCACTGAGTAGAGAGAATAAATGTAGGGACCTTGGAGTTTGCTTCCAAACAAATTTAAGATTTGGCCAGCATTATGAAGCCATTGTCAATAAATCATATAAGCTTCTTGGTTTTGTAATCAGGAATACAAAATACTTTAAAAATGTCAGGACAATAATAACTTTGTATAATGCTCTGGTTAGACCCAATTTGGAGTATGCCTCAATTATTTGGTCACCACAAACAATGTGCCATGCTGACATGATTGGAAAAGTGCAAAAGAGATTCTTAAGGTACCTGTATTTAAAAACTCACAAAGTGTATCCTTACCTGGTCTCCTATAATAGTATGCTGGTAGAATTTAAAATGGTGAAATTGAGTGTCAGGCGTAGTTTGAATGATGTTTTATTTATTTACAATATTGTTAACAACTTAAAGTATAAAAAATGTTCCTTAATTAATGATATAATGTTTCTAGTTCCTAAAATTAATTTAAGAATAAGGGATAATAAACTTTTTCAATGTCTACCCTCAAATAGTTCTCCTATAAATCGCATGCTGCGTGAATGTAATTTTTTTATTGAGGAGGGTGATATAGACCTCTTCAGTACGACAGCAGAACAAATTAAGTGTGTGATATTGAATAATAATGTATTGTGATATTTGTGATCGCCTATCTATAGTGATGCGTGAATCACTTTTTTCTCTTTTTTTTCTGTTTTTATATTTTTGGTTTATTGTTTCTGTTCCTCGTTTGTTTTTTATATTTTTATATTTTGCCTCTTATTTTATACATAGTCTTAATTATTAGTTTAGATTAAGTCTAGTTTATCCAGTAAGCACTCTTACATTTAAGTACATTTACATGTGTTTGTAGGAGTATAAATGAATAAATAAATAAATAAATTTGTGTCTTTGGTCTTCTTCTTGTTTTTCTTTATATCTTCGGTCTTTTTCTTCTTGTTTTTCTTTCTGTCTTGGATCTTCTTCTTCTTGTATTTCTTTCTGTCTTTGGTCTTCTTGTTCTTGTAAAAGTGTTGCAAGCCGGTCTTGTTCTTTCTGTTTTCGGGCTTCTTCTTCATGTCTTTCGTCGTCCAAGTTCTTCATGAAGTCCGTCAACATTTGATCAACTTACTCCATTACGGCTGTTTGCTTTCGTGTATTTACCATATACAGTGTGATTTTTTAAGTGTGCAACATATGGGGATTTTTTTTAAGTAATGGCACAACCCAAATACAAACAAGGCCAAAAGTTGGTGCATGTCTGATAATCATATTAGGTGCACTTAGAATGGTTGCAAGTCAAACAGCATACAGGGTAGCTCAAACAATATCAAAGCTGTACTGTACAGTACCATTATTTTAGAAAATTCAGCAAAATGTTATAGAGAAAAGTTGTTTGGAATTAAAAGTTATGCCTAAGTACGAAAATATAGCCTCCTAAGATTTTTTTTATTTTTTTTCGAAAAAAATCTATAATTTCTATATTTTTTTTATTTTTTATTTCCGCCCTTAATACTTTCAAAAATTAATTAAAATCAAATCAATTTTACATAACTTTCTTCAAATTCAAGCATATTTGTAAAATTAACTTAGATTTTTATTTTTTTATGGAATCACAAAATTCATGTTTGTTGCAATGATATTCAACACAACTTTAAAATGTCGCAATTTTTTTTTAAATAAGTTAAAACATTACTAATGATAATATCCATATTAAAAAAACTCTCCTTAAAGTGCAAAAGTTTTATTTTATTCAAGTAAATATTACTACAATTTTGATATTTTTTGAGCTACCCTGGATGCTGTTTGACTTGCAACGATTCTAAGTGCACCTAATATGATTATTAGACATGCACCAACTTTTGGCCTTGTTTATATTTTGATTGTGCTATTACTAGAAAAAAATCCCATATGTTGCACACTTAAGTAATGACACTGTATAGAGTATTCTGCATCTTTCCCGAAACTTGATTTCGAATCTAAAGTTCTGTGGCGAAATCAAATTTCCAGCTAAAACACGATGAAAGTTCCGGAAAATTGCTTTATGGAGTTGTTTTTCGATGCCGAAATCAGTAACGAAGTCACTATTCTTGTATCACTCACGGTTTCCAAATCAAATTCTATAGAAGTTTGTAGAATTTTCCAAAAAATCTGCCTTTGAGCTTGTTTTTCGATGTTGAAGCCAGTAATAAAGTCACTATTTTTGTATCACTGACGGTTTCCAAATAGAATTCTGTTTACTGATTATTCCCACTAAGTAAAGCGACCACCATGACGGACAGACATCGTGGGCCTTGTACAGACGTCATTTCGAGACTGTTTTAATGGCTAATGGTTGGAGCTCCGATGACATTGCTACAGGGTTGATTGTAGCATTATGGAGCCTTGCATGCCCAGATCAAGACAAGAACTGCCTCAGAATTGGTCAGCTTGAAAGTGTTTCTGTTAGAAACTTTCGATTGGATGCGAATTAAGAACGGAGTCCTGGATAGCTGATGGGAAGTGAACAAATGGAAAAAAGTGACCTCGACCTCGAATCATTTTTCGAGATTAGGAAAGCCGGGGATAGATCAATGAAAGGTAGAAAAGAAAAATCCGGCAAGCGGAGAAATAAAAACCAGGAACAAGAAGATTGGTCGATTACGACTGATGCTGATCCAGAAGATCAAAGTTATCCTTTGAACGGCCGCTCTGCACATTTCCATGAAGAGGAGCGCTACGAGTGCTGCGATTATCCACGGAAGCGCAGAAAAGGCAGTTGGCAGCATAGTAATCAACAGGGAACCGGACCGGGTAGTTATTCGTCTAGTATCGTCTGGCAAGTGGTAAGTTGATAGAGACGAAAGGGGGAAGAAAAGTGGGGCGTAACCTAAGAATATTCACTGACACCGCTTGATGACAGCCATGTCTTTGGGTTCAGTGGCACCGAAAATACCAAGGAAATGAACCAATAAAATTATTAGAATTTTTTTTAAGTTTCGTCAATAACCACGCCACTGTGCTATCGTTCAGGCTCTAACCTTAAGCTCTAACCAATAGAATCATGCCTCTGAATAATCACGCCTCTTCACATCCATCATTTCGCAATGTTGCCGGATTTTTTTCTATTTCAAAATACTACACATGCTCATGTAGCGAAAAAAAAATTGTCACCAACTTGTTTATTACTGTTTCCGTCAAGTTTGGCAAAGCAGCAAATTCTATTGCAGTTCGCCGTTTGGCTGTCATTGGTTTGGCTAGCCAGACAATACCTATGCTGTTTTCTAGATAAATCCCGAGTACATTGTCTGCTATAAACAGCACGAAATAGTAGCCTAAGTAAGTCAGTTTTAAAAAAAAAGTTTGCAAAAATTCTGTATATGTGTACAAATGAGGCTAATAAAAGTGTTGGGTCACTCAGTAAATAAGTCATTAAGAAATAAACTATGAAAACTTTTTTTCTTCCTCAAATATCAAGCTCTGAAGTTACGGGACCATACTTAAGAAATACCCTGACAATGTATCCAACAAAAATACTTTATTCAAAAGAATTACCTACCTATGCAATATTCGAATACTAGGTAGATATACGTGATAATGGTCTGCCTGCTTGATCATAAAAATAACAACTTTAATACAAACTATGTACAAAACCCATATGAAACAAATTTTTTATTTATTATTCCACGTAGCAGACGTGACATAAACCAAAGGTATGTTATCTATCTGGCATTCAAATTTTCCAAACGTTTCCCATTGGATTTGAGAATTGGTATATGAAATCCAAAAAACACTTTCAAGAACAAAATAAAAAATCATACTTTTACTTATTTCTTGAAGGAGGTGTGACCCTTAAAGACGACTAAAGCTACTTAAATCGAGAAAAAAAATCAAAGATCTCTCGTGAAAACCGCAGTCTTATTTTGGAAATATTCTCCGAGAAAATTCCTTAGGAAGATAAATTATGCAGGAACTTGTGATGTCACAACCGCCAAAATCGCAGTCTTCTGTTCGTTCAGTCGTTAGTGAACCGTACCCTATACTTTGAGTGGTTGGAATTCGCTCTAGTGAGATAATTGTCTTTTGTTTTGGAAAATTCTTACACGTGTTAGTACTATGCGTGATAATCCAGTGTGACGTCACAAACACCTAGTTGTAACTTCAAACCGCCCTAACTCGAAAAAGAACCATCGTAGCGAGATGCGGTTTAAATATTTATTCCTAGATTTTTTTTTGCACCAGAACTTTCATTTATTGGGTCACACCCCATTAATTGACTCATAGCTACTTTAAATGATTAATAAAAAGAACTGTATCGATATTGAATCATAAACTTTTGGCTCTAGGAGTCAAGAAAGGAAAAAAAAAGAAAGATAAAAGAACAAGACAATAAATACAGTTGATTTTCAAAATACTATTGGTTTTTAAAATCGCACATACAGAGATGTTCACTCTATTCACTTAGGTGAACCATACTTTTTTTTATAGTTAAGTTTTCACGATATGATTCTTGTAACTTGAATTTTTATTGAAAAGTTACTCTGTAGATAGCCCGACTTGTCATGTAGGCGTCGATCTGGGCTGAAGAAATGTTCTTTCAACACCCTGTATTGTATTTGTTGCAATCGTGACAACAATGGTCATAATAAACAGCAGCCGACTTATCACCAAGAAAATGACCTCGTCGTAGGCGCACGATTTTAAAACCCAATCTCTATACTGGTCAGTCACTAGGTACTGGGATATCAGTCAGTTCTCAGCAGTGTCGTTTTGGTTAACTTCCAGAAAGGTCTCGCCCTCTAGCATCGGCTTGTTCTCGAACTCTCCATTTCGACAAAATTGAGTCGGTCAAAAAAGTGGGCAGTCGGTCGGTTATCTATTCTGTGCTCCCGCTTTAGTCGGCGGCAACGGGCCGAATATACGACAAGTGAAAGACATTTTGCAGATACGCAAACGAACTCTGTACGCGTTATTGAAGCCCGACTTCTGTTTGACGGAAAGTTTTTTTGAGCGCTTTTTGCCGAAAAGCTTCAAAGTTTTAAGTAATTTGTTTTTTTTTTGTTTTGTGAAAAAAATGAAATTAATTAAGGGATGATTTTTTTGTTGTGATAACTTTTGTGTTACTGGGATTAATAATATTTGAGACATTGTTACAATTTTATCATAAAGGTAAGTTTAAATTTATTTTGTAACTTTTGAAGAAGCGTGATTACTGATTTTAAGCAATGCGATGTTGTAGAAGTTTTTAACTCCTAACAAACTTTTCCTTTTTAAATAATAGATACATCTTTCAAATTTTGATTTGGATACAGCTACTTCTGCTCTATATAAGTTTCAAAAGTTTGAGATAGGACCCTATTTACAAAAAGAAAAACTCTTGCTTTGGCAACTTTTTATTAGTGGGAACCTTTATTGTAAAAAACTTATCGCATTTCGTTTTTGATGCGATATGCTACATTTTTAAGCATAACATTTATCTATTAGTAGTTAGTTAAGTTATTACAAAAATATTCGAAAAACGAAATTATGTTAGTCTATCAGACACAATCAGGAACCCAAGACCAGGAAAGAGGATACATAAAAATAAAATTTAAAAATCCATAAAAACCTCACTTGTTAAGAAAATATTGTTACTGCGTTACCAAAATTATCATCACTTTCGCCGGTAAACTTGCAATATTTCCTTCCGGACAAGTTCAGATTTTCTGGTACCAAAATATTAGAGGTAACAAAAATTATATCTCTGATAGTTAGTTTTATTTTTTTCATTTTTCCTAAAAATAAGTATAGAAATCTTATGGAATAAACTCAAGAATTACAACACTGAAAGTAGGTAAACTGTTTAGTCTGCTGAAAGTGAAATTAGTAGGCCAGCAAAAAGAAGTAAATGCGGTTAAGGAGACAATTTGTATTTTACACACTGACTGTCAATAATAATCGATAGATTTGTATTTTATTTAAATATCCATTAAATACATATACAATTTTGTAAACTTTTACTTATTGTCATTATCTGTCTTGTTGGTTTTGAAGATTTTTCTTTGGTCAGTCAAAACTTCCTCAATAATTTGTTTCGAACTGACTAACAATTAAGTTGTTCCCTATACATATTAATTACTATATTGTTGGTCAATCGATTGCTGAAATTTTTTTAAGGTGAATTGATTATTTAACATTCATTTTTTGGTGCTAGATTGACGTAGGTATTCACCTACCATAATTATTGCAATCTAATTATGTAAAAAGATTTGGTATACCTTGAGAAAGAAGAAACTTTGGCATACTTATTTATAATTAATTATTCCAGAAAGCAGTTTTGAAGCATAACTAAACAAACTGGTTCTATTCTCAGCATCATCTAAGATAAACCATCCTATTTTTAATTAGATCAATGACCACATCAACACAATCCTTTATCTAATGCAAAAGAAATAAAGATAAGTACCAATAAATGTTTATTATTTAGTGGCCAAGATCCGTTGAAGATCCATATGGGTTAGTGGGCAGTAGATTTTGTGCGAATGACTCATACCTACCATATAAGAAAAATATGGTGGGATGTTCTTCATCTAATTTATATAAATAACTGTACCTACCTATGAGAACATACAGAGATACTCTTCTACAACTAAGCCAATGAATCATTTAGAACAAGAATAACATAATAATTTTGAATAAAATACTCGCGTCTATTACTTAATTCAGCCAATGCATTTGAGGGGAGGATCAAGTAGATATTAATAGCACAGTATTATGATGACCTAGAGTACATGACACCTAATTTGAGAGCAATACGAGAAATAGGGTTTTGGGAGTAAATCTGACGAGAACAGAATTTATCACCATAGAAGGAGAATAATGAAACCTGAAAATGAATAACGAACAAGAAATAAAAGGATGCCCTGAATGAATAATGTGGGACCAAAATATAAACCAAATAAACAATAGTAAAATATGGAATATTATCGTCAGAAGTATAATGACATATAGTTCAGAGGTCTGGCAACTAAAGAACAGAACCGCAAAAATGTTGGAAGCAGCTCTGAAATGGACTTTTGGAAGAGAGCGGCTGAGAGGTCAGACATGGAAAGGATAACAAACCAGAGATGAACGTAAGACAAACAATAGTAGAAGATAAGCTGAAAAAGTGGAGCAGAAGCTTGGAGGAGAATGCTCGAATTGACAGAAATGATTGGAGATTGGGAATTGGAGGACGTATATCGTTGTAGACCGATAATTTTGTTTACTCTTTTGGCTTTCTGGGTTAATTTTCTCAGTCACTATCAAGCTGCGCGATGGGCAATGGTGCAAATAAGAACAAATATTGGACTTCAACATGTGGCGTCTTCTTTTTCAATAACCTACCTTACAAATATTTGAATATATAGGTCAAATCTTGCTGCTTACAATTCAAGTTTCGCAAATATTTTTAAATCAACACTGATGGTCAAAGGCTATCTTAAATTCAATGAAACTTATCTAGTTGCATGAACATTTTTTTGTGCATTGCACAAATTAATTGAAATTTTTATAGTTTGGAAAATATTCTGTGTGGTGCTGTAAAAAAAAGCTTGCCTTATGGGCTGGAAAAAATCTATCGTCTTAGAACGGTCTTAGACAATTCATAATAATTGTTGAAAAAGTCTAGCGCCTGTAATTTTCCAAATACTCTATGTTCCCCTACTATTCAAGTTCATTTACAAGTAGAACTTCGCTATCTTGCTTGAAATATCTCAGCTATTACTCTGTCTTCTTCAACAGATTTTGGTGTTTGTATCTTTGTATTTTATTTTATGCTATTAGTTTTCACTTCCTTTGTGTCTTGACCAAATTTTCTGAGATTTGTTTTCCATTCTCTCTATGAGTCATTTTTTGTGCCTGCCCTTTGTATAGGTCGGAAAAAGGTAAATTTGTTGATGAGAATAAACACAATTTTGGTTCCTACGTACTTCCCCTTCAAATATTTCCAAATTGAATATAATTTTCACCAAAAAGTCAGTCTTTCCGTGATCTCAAATTGTTTGCTTTTTGGATTAGAAGATAGACAATGGAAAATTATTCAGCCTTTAATCCAAACAATTTAGAATTCGAATTCACGGAACATCACCGCGTATCGTAAAGCTATGTCTACATCGAAGAAACACAGAGGAACATTTTGTTGCAGCAAAAGTTCCGTAAACATTCTGTCCACACCATGGTTACTCATTTATGTAAATGCTTCGTTGTGTTGATGCAACAGTAAAGGCTGTGTCTATACCAGCAGTGTGTGTTCCTACTTTCGAAACAATGTGGTGCGACGCAGTTTACACACACACAACGGCTAAGTTTCGAGTTTTGGAAACAAGCAACTTATGAACTTTCGTTGCTGCAACCGTTAACAATAAGCAGCTTGAATAAACTTTTGGAAACATACAGAAACAAGTTCCAGGAACAAGCAGCATAAACACAATGTTCCTATATGTTGCTTTCGGTGTGGACGTAGCTTAACAAAGGAAATATAGGAACATTGGTACACATTTTGTGTTTCTCAACTTAATTTTTATCAGTGTGGATACGTTAGGTCTGTTCCAACACGTCAAAAACCATCCTATGAACAGTTTAGAAACCACGCTGTACACGAATTTCGGACTCTACGCGCACCAATTTAAGGTTTTGCGCAGAATCGTGACGGTACATTGTTTTCTGCTGTGTTCGAACAAAGCTTTTGTTGTTTGTTGCCATAACTCGAAACTTAACCATTTCATGTGTGTAAATCGTCGTCGCACCTCATTGTTTCGAAACTAGGAACACACACTGCTGGTGTAGACACAAATGTTAGGTCGAAACATTCAAGTTTGCTATGACAAAAATGTGAATTTCTATTTTAAATTTTCCTATAAATTGCATTTAATTTCAATGACAGTTAATTTGGCGCTGCTAGTTGTCCCGACTCGAATAAAAATTCAAGCATTCCGAAGTTGTGTTACGATTAGGTATGTTTTCTTGTGCCATTCTTTTTATCGGATCATCAACATTTTTCTTCTACTTTTTTGTATAGAGTGTGTACCTAGGGTAGGGTCACACCACCTTACTTATCCCCGATTTTTCCTTTAAAAAGTATAAATTCGATAAAAAAATCTTTTTACACTTCAACCCAGAATGCATACATCTGATCTCAGTGGACATGAAACAAATTAATTGCAAAAATTACTCTGTACTCCTTGACACTGGCCTGTCTTCAGCTTCATGACATTTCAGTTCTACGTCGGAAATGAGTGAATAATATATTATTTTAATTTTAACACACATATTCGAGAATGATGTTCAAATAAGCCGGATTCTAAATACCAACCGAGGACGAAGAAGACTCGAAAATGTCAAATAAGAAGAACCACCAACCACCAAACTTATTAGGTTGATTTTGTTTCCATTGAAAACATGCGGATCAGATGCCAAAATTTTGCGCCAGGGTTCCTATTTGTTACGCACTGTGTAATCCAAAAGTTTCTATTGTTACAAAGTAGTGAGTTCTCGAATCCAATTTATAAGAAACGATGTATTCCACAGTAAAAATATATCTAACTTCAAATGAACAAATATTCGTTCTTTAACAAAGTCGACTGATGCATAGTTGATTCTCTATTTCTATTACCTATTAGCTCATATTAATTCGCATATATACATATTATGCACAGCACTAAAAAAAATTCATAAGAATTTCAAAAAAAAAAAATGGAAAATCCACAATACGGGCAAGTTTTTTTGGTTTGATTTAAATAACGGATGATATTTAAATGGTCAAACCATATGGTAATCGAGAATCCTAGATAATTACCACTTTATGGTTGTATGAGTCCATAGACAAATAATAATCATCAAAATGGGCATTTTTCAGAGTAGGTCGCGTTTTCGCGATTCAGGAATGAGGTTTTTATGTTAATAATTTGTTATAAATCCACATTTGTATTGTTCAAGTTCTCTCCTGCATTTATATTGTGGTTTTTTAATGCGTGAGAAATTTTCGCTTACAAGAAAAATCAAATTATTAGGAAAATGTTTTGTTCTAAGAAAAAGGAAATTTCATTTAAAACACTTACTTTCATTTTAAAGGATCGATAAAATTTAGTAGGTCGAGTATTGCCAGTTTTTAAAACCTCTGAGGTGAACCTGAAGAGTAGGTATAGATACAT